TGAAATGTCAGTCTGTGTCATATTCAAAATTTATAAAGTTTTATATACAAAATACTTGAACATAATGTGAAGATTATTAGGGATAAAATGTAGTTGGTTACAGGGGAAAAAAATCTTTCAAATAAGTAGTTTGATGAAATTAAAAAAAATGTTTAATAAAATGGGATTAACCAAAAAAATGTTCCTTTACTCTCACTGAGTACTGGATCATGCACCACCAAAGTAAAAGGGCGTTTTACCATTGATTTTATGATCAAGCCTTTATTCTACAGACCTCAGTACATGGTCCTTGCTCATTTGTGTAGTGCCAGTAAATTCAATGGGATTACTCAGAAGGTTAATGTTATATATTTTCAGGATCAGCCCCTTAGACAGCAGTATCTCTTGCCAAATCCACCATTTACATATTTGACCACAATTGAGAGAAAGCATAATGCCAGGTACTTTAAAATGATTATGTTTTAATCTAAGCCCTTTAAAGATCAAGAGTCTGAATAAAATGAAGGTGGGATGACTGTAAAGAGCTATTACTCAATTTAGTACTGTGAGGCACTTCAATACTATTCAGCATTTAGAAGTGCTCTGGAATGGTGATACTCTGGTGCAGTTTTCTCAATAATATCTACAAAGGAACACAATGAGAAATTCTCTTCCTCTTCAGTAGAAATACATCACCCTGTGCAAATGGTAGCACCCCAAGAACTGAATTTAGCATGTTTTTGTTTGCTTGTAGTTAGCTAATAACAGATACTAGTTTTATTAATATTAAAACTGAATAGTTTTTATAATGTACTAAAGCTCCTTGTCTCATTAAGAGTTTTGACTGAGATTCTGTTCAAACAGGGAGGTGTCTGGTAGGCACCACAGGAAATTTAATATTGCAGTCTGATGCAATTGGCTTAGGCCAGAACCAAAAGCTAAGATCCAGACCCAGAATCTTGCTTCAAAACATGTTTTGTCGTTTCAATTCAGTTCTGCTTTATGGGTAGAGCTTAAACACCAAATTCCGTCCCTCCAAAATGCAGGATTGTTCATATCCTGAATTCAGACCTGGTAGTAAAATTCAGGCCCAGTTCTATTTATGAGCTTCATCAAAACACTGCACAGAACAAACTAGGATTGCACTTCTCCACTTACTAGCACTGACCCTGCAATTAACAGGGAACAAATTGACCTGTTCAGCACAACACTGTAATCATTTATGACATCTCTCAGCAAGGACATGTTAACTGTGTCAAATTCAAATAGTATACACAATATTCTAGCCCTTGTGGTCTGGACACTACAATGAATAAAACATCATATACAGAGATGTGATTATGATCATGGCAAATCTAAAAGGAAGTGACTTCCTTGCACACTGAGTGCCTCCAGATCAAACTATAGCAAGGTGCTTAAGGCTGTATGTCCACCACTAGCAATCATATCACACCACCAGTCTGTTCAATACTCATGAGATAGCTGCTTATGTGGAGACATTCCCTGGTACACACACTTCAGAATTTATTGATCTTCCATTTTATTCTTTTCATACCAAGAAAGCCAGGAGAAACTGAACCAGTGCTGGAGGAGGAGGTTGCTAAAGTTTGACTTACACTATTCCCATTTCTAATCATGTTCTGCCTCTTGATATGTAACAGCTGACCGAGACAACATTAATCAAAACTGTCAATCTGGTGTACCTCAGCTTTCCTTGGCACTGACTCTCATTTCCACAACACAGAGGTATAGTACATTAGATCCATGGCTTTGTAGCAAGTTTGATGATATGATATTCCCATAAAAACCACTGAACAGCCTGGGAAAGGGCAGTTGCTTTATGAGTATCCACATTCTTACAGCATCCTCCAGGATTGTCTCTGATGCTTATGAAATATTTGACAGCTGTCATCTGTTTGATAGCCCATCTGTACAGGTTAATCTCCGATCTTATTGTAATCAGGAGCTAGTGGCTGTTTGATGGGAATGGTCAGGGACTTTATTTTACCGACTAATAAGCAGGTCAATGAATGCCACTTCTTGCCTGATCAGATTGCCCATCAGCTGTAATGATTCAGCAAACTGAGACAATAAGACAATGTCACTGACACATTCAAGATTTTGAAACAGAGTCACCATCAGTTCAATGCCAACAGCGGCCTTCTCAAGCTTATCCATCAGCCACAACAATAGCGGCAGAAAACTGCATAGCTGAATTCCTGCGGATATGGAACGCCACTCTTTGCATTAGCCATTGACTCAAATGCAGCTTACCATCCCATTATAGAGCTCTTCTGCCAGTGACTCTGTCTTACCAGAGATGATGAGATGCCTCATCAGGTCCCACAAACTTGCTTTGAATTGAACTGAAAGTTGGATGAAAGTCTATAAAAAGAGAAGCTCGTGGTTTCTCAAAGTCAAACATCTCCTCAAAAAGCTATCTCAAGGTAAAGATCTTGTCAACAATGGAATGATCAGATCTAAAACTGCAGTGACTATCCTGGCATTTGCTCCAAAGTGCATAGTTGATTTGAGATGTTAACAAGGAATCAAATGCTCTTCAAAGGAACAAGAGAGTAATACTTCTAAGGATGCTACATTCACCTTTATTGCTCTTTTTAAACACAAGCGGAATAACCCCTTCCTCTGGTAATCAAGATCCAAGGTTCTAAAAAGTTCTTGGCTCTTGCTGCTCGCTTGCTGACCATTCTCCTTCTTCTCCATCACTTTTGGCGAGTGTCTTGGGAGGATTCCATGGTCTGGCTTGGGAAGCTGATTGGATCCCTCCCTAGGATCAAATGCAGCTGCTCGTAGAAGCATCAGGGTTTGCAGTGATGCTCCAGATTATCCATTTGCCTGCTTTGTCTTTTGGTAAGACTGCCTCAGCTCCTTTATTTTCACTAAGCACTGCTGGGTGTCCCTGAAGTGTCCTTTCTCCACCAGGCACTTGGCTAGCTTCGCATAGATATTGGCATTTCTTTTGCTGGTTCAGAGCTCAGAGAAAAAAATTTTCTCTCCCCATGCCTCAATGAGGTTCAAGAGCTCCTTCACACTTCATGCTGGTGCTCGTCTGGGAACTGGAGCTCATGGGACATTAACTCATGGAACTCATGGCCAGGAGTGCAGTTCGGGTGTGCTGCCTGCTCTGCAGTGTGCTCGCCTCACTGTCCACAAAGGAAATTAAATGCAAATTTTCTGAGGGCTTCTCCTAATCATCTGCAGAGCAGTACTCACAAGCCAGAGCGGTCACAGCAGGGCACAGTCGGATGCCTCTTTGGAGACCAAAGAGCAACTTTTGCAATGCTACATCTACACTATCATATAGTTCACCATGCAAGCTCGAATTTAGTGTGAGTCCTCATGAAAAGCAGGAGTACCAAAATCAACTTTAGCATCCCTTAAAGATGATGGAATGGGCTTGGTAGTAGGGACTCATTGTTTAGATAATTGACCTAATTCAGCTAAATTCAACCTAAGCGCTTTGACCAGGTTTTAGGACACGGTGGGCAACAATTTTATAAGGGGGCCACTTCACAAATTTTTGAAGTGGTCCCGGGCTGCCATGGAAAGGGCAGGGCCAGGAAACTTCCATGCTCCCCTGCCCACAGACCCTGATTGGCCTGGGGATGGGGGAGCACGTGAAGTCTTTGTCCCGCGCCTGCCTGGGGATGGGGGAGCACATGAAGTCTTTGTCCCGCGCCCCCTCCCCAAGAAAACTGCCACCTGGCAGCGTTCCCTCTAGGCAACTATGCCCCTAGCAGAGGGAGGAAACTTCTCGTGCTCCCCAAGTATCCATGTCAATCAGGGACTGGGGGGAGGGAAGCGTGTGAAGTCTCATGCTCCCTGCCCCCGCCCTGCAAGGGGCATGTGGTGCTTGGTGAGGGAGGAGACTTCGCACGCTCCCCCATCCCTAGGTGCTGATTGGCCTGGGGTGAGGGAGTGGCAGGACATCCAGGGGCCAGATCAACGTGTTTGGGGGGCTGCATCTAGCCCGTTAAGGCTCTCTTGCCCTCTCTTGCCTTAGGAGGGAATGAGGCTGCACAGCCCACCTGAAGGAAGATTGAGTTCCTTGAGGCTGTGGCACTTCCTAGAGACTGTTTCAAAGCTGAGGTTGCAACACTGAGCCTATGGATCTGTAGCAGTACCCCCTTTGGAAAGATCAGCAAATGCACAGTAACTTGGCATAATTGTCATGGCTCATGGGCTTGTATAACAACAATGGTTAGTAACTAAGTTAACAGCAAGGCCTAATTTTTAAAAGATGGCATATGCAACAATGATTGTTTCTGAAAACTGAATAACTATCTGCACGCAGCCAGTTGTGGCTCTAAATGGATGTGCTGATGCATAAATATTAGATTTGTAAATTCAGTTGTAGCATTTGTGTGTGAAAATTAGTCATGTGCAACGATGTGTGAAAAATCAGGCCTTGACTGCTATAGTAATAATTTTCTCAGCATAAAACACCATGTAGTGCTTTACATCACAGGCATTATACAATGAAATACTCTCTTAAACAGCTCTGGTCTGCTGATAAGTCAAAGTGCAGCTTTTTTGTTTTAAGCTTTAACAGGGCAACTGCTGTTACAATACAAAAGGACATCAATACAGACTCAATGGGTACTGGAAGTATCCCAGAAAAACTCCGCTGCGTCCAGAGACCACGTTTGTTCTTCCACTCTTTTGGGGAGTCCTGTATACCTCGTTCTATGAGGAATAAGAGCTCCTCCGAAAGAAGAGGCTTTTCCACCATTTGGCCCTGTCTAGATGAGGTCAAATGGTGGAAAAGCCTCTTCCGGAAAAGCTATCGGAAATAGCGGAGCGCAATTTGCATAGCTTTTTTCTGACAAAGAGCTGTAGTCTAGACCTAGTCAAAGTGAAAGAACTGCATCTCCATACTTTTTATTCTTGATTACATAACAACTCTCATGAAGTAATGAATATCAGGCCACAAAACTTCCAGTGAGTACGTATAAATATCCTTACAGTATGAGTTACTAGTCAATATGTTTTTCACTTACAACATTTGGCTTCATCATATCCATTGGAGCAGTCAGGTGTGAAATCACAAAATTTGTCAGACAAAATACAGGCTCCATCTTCACATGGTAAAAAACCCAGTGGACAAGAAAGGGATGAAGATTCAGTGGTTGTAAGGTTTGCTTTCCCTTTAAAAAGAAAATTAAAAATTGACGAGATGTTCTTTTTACCATATACATTTTTAACAGTGCACACAGATTGAACCAGTTATATAAAATGACCTTTTCGCACCATCGTAAGTGAACTAGAAATCCAGTTAATGCTATTCTCCTTTGTAGATGACAGCAGCCTTCTACCTGTGCATTATTATTTTCACGACATTCATAAGTGCGTTGAGTGCTCGTAGATTACACACTTGCCTAAAAGAGCTTAGAAGGTTTTTCAAAAGCACTGATGTGCAGAGAGCTAAACTCTAGGAGTTGGTCTATAGTACACACTTACTTTGGTTTAACTATGGGTATGTCTACACTACCCCGCTAGTTCGAACTAGCGGGGGTAATATAGTCATCCGCAATTGCAAATGAAGCCTGGGATTTGAATTTCCCGGGCTTCATTTGCATGAAGCTGGCCGGCGCCATTTT